ACGATGAGAGCCTTACTCTAGGAAGTTCTAGAAGAAAAAGGATATCTCACAAAGAAAATTGTCTTCATTTGAAAAAACTTTTTGTCAAAGTAATGTTTAAACCCCAACATTTTTCCTAGCACTTAACTTTAGTTACAAGAAGGAATTTGAAAGGAAATTTCGTATGTTCTAGCTTAACTTAATTCGAAGATGAAAATTTCGGAATTTTAGTGTCCGAAAGGAAAACGTTTTGAGCACTTTCGGTATGGTGATATAGCGTGTGAAGTCGTTCGGTTAGACGGCCCTAACTTAGTTGACACCTTGGACGGACAGCAAACGACCTTTTCCTCTCTGTCTCCCATCGCTGCACCTTGACTCTTGCTCGACCACAGTTTCGCATTAAGTATTCACGTTGAACCCAATTTGCGTGCAAGGAGCGTTCTAGGAAAGTGAATCGGCGCTTTCGCGACAATTTTGAAATAGAGAATTTTCTCAAAAAATTTTATCTTCTTACTTTCCTAGATAAAAAATCGAAAATATTTCTAATATTATCGTACGTATCATGTCTTTGAATAATAATCGAAAAAATTTACATCAAGGTGTTTGATAATTTTCTTATTGTTTCTAAAATAAAAAATAATTGAATGCAATGAAATTTCATCCATGATAGTAATAATGTTCTGATCATTTTAATAACAGCTTTAAAAGATTAAATAAAACTCGATCGACTATAATTTTTCTTTTACAGTTCATTTAATTTTATAGCCTTTTAATCAGCGTTTAAATGATTTTACAATGCCTGCGAACGAATAAATTAACATTAATATCAATAATTATTTGAAAATATTTTGAATTGAATTGAATTTCGTTAACAAAAGTCTATCGCATTGGTTAAAATCGATTTTTGATAGGAAAGAATCTACAGGCAGATTTCTCCGATCTCATCCCACTCGAGCCGCCACTCGAAGGACATCCCTAATGGGAACAGGCACTGGCTCGGGATGGGTTGACAATCCTCTAATTACTTTAAAGTAGTTTTCGATTCCCCGAGTAGAACGCCAGGCTTATCGAAGGGGAATCCAACGCGACGATTGAAAAATCTTTTAAATCGAATCTTTGAATTCGATTCGAACAATATTGTGCATTTAGACAATTCTAAAGGTTCTTTTTTAAGCATTAAACTGTAAATAAAAGAATAAAAATTATAAATAAATATAAAAACGTATTTAATTAAATGTCTCGACAACGTGATTCTTTTTTCCAGAATAACTTTTCTCTCGCGTAAAGAAAAAGAGTGAGGGAGGTAGGAGAAAGAGAGAAAGAGCATCGTATAAATTCATGTTTAACGGGGGCATAAAGGTGTGACAAGAAATGAGTAGCGAGACCTTGACTTAAATGGAGGCGAGCGTACGGGTAGTTGCCGGTGCTCGTTGATTATTTATTCAAAGGGTATTACGGGCTCCACTAATTATAATTTATATCGTGGCAGTAACAACATCACATCGACCATGCCAGAACATCAGAGAAGATGGCAAGTGGTATTCGAACGTTGGATAAACTTTAAAAACGATTCTAAATGAATCGAGAAAAATGAAAGAAAATATTTAAGGAAATAAGAAAAGATGATCAAAATCTTCAATTAAAATGTATTAGAATAAAATCTTTATCGTTATAATTGTCGGCATAGTTTTGAAGGATTTCAAAATTGGTTTCGGTCATATCGGAAGGTAATTTCGATTGAGGCACACAAAAGTAGACATGGAGAATGTGACAGGCACGAGAGCTAGGAGCATGTACGGCCAATCAGCGGTTTTTCCTAGACTGCCTGTCATTCAGTCAGCCAAGTGGAAGGACAGGAACGGCTTGTGGTTCGGCTTTGGCATTATTCATTATGCAGCTCACAACACGCCGTCACCTGCCACCGCAGTCCTGCATAGACACAGCCGCTGTGCTAGCATTGACCACATACGTATTCTATACGTTTACCCTGTCTCCATTTTCTCGGTGTCCTCTGTGACATTAGTAAGATAACGGAACATGTCTTTCTAAGCCTATATTCAAGAAAATCACGACCAAGAAAAAAAAGAGATGGTAAAGTAATTCCAATGTTTTCCAACTTCATTATGTTTATAGTTCTACGATGAACCATTTCTTAAACCAATACTCAAAGAAAGTCATTTATTATCGATAACCATCAGGGTAACGATATCGTCTTACTCACAACGCGGTCTTACGAGAGAAACGTGTAACAGATAGTTCACACGACACCAAATCAGTTTTTCTTCCGCGCGAATCAGTTATTTTATTGTCTTTTACAATATATTTTATATATATTTACAGATTCACACGATATTGCCGTTAACCATATATGGTAAAATCATAAATTCAGCAATTTTGTACGTTCATTTTTGCGGTTCTGCCAATAGAACCTCTTGCAACCATTCAGTAAAAAATGTAATTCAGTCGATATTCAATTGTTCAAAAATCCGTATCAAGTGAACATTATAAACCGTTGATACCGATTTGATGAAATTATCGTTATGGTTGAAAAACTGCATTTGGCTTACTGTAAGATCCTTGTGAGACGTAAGTAAAGATTATAATAAAAAATATCAATAATAAAAATAATACGATTAATATTACGATGTATATTATATAATAAATATTTTTAATTCATGCCTATCAACAATCGATTTTATCGGGAAACATTCTGACTCGGTCCAGCACCGTTACGATGAAAGAGATAGGGTGATCCAGATTGGTGAATGGAACGGTGATAATAGGGATGAACATGACTCGTATCCAAAAAGCATCTTTTACATTGACTGACAGGCTAGTAGCAATATGTTTATACTAGACTGATAATGAATTCATGGTCCTTGCTATGCCACTGGGTGAGCTATTTGTGAACAGGTTGCACCAAACATTACGGATCGGATTGCACAGATGCTCTTTTGTCGGCAGATGAGTGAGAGCCCTTGGGATGACGCCGGATGATATCGGATCTGTCGGGGTCGAAGTAAGAATCGTAGGGAGGAAAATCGGCTGAATCCAGAGATCATATACATATAGACGTACACGTACATGTAAAATTCTTTGTTGTGTATGTTTATATACGTGTATGTATGGGAGCATGTTACGCAGCCGGGTGATCCCACGGGTCCCAACGGAATACCATCCATGGGGCTTAATGACAATTCTGACTATTCTATACCGCTCAAACGCTCGTTTGCGCTTGTTTCTATATATTATTATGATGGTTTAGGCTTAAGCGGCTCTATCATATTAATTTATACATTTTTTGAAGAAACATACTCTTGCTTTTCAAATCTTAAACTTCTATATTATTTCACCTAGTATGATGTATTTAAAACAAGGATAAATTTTATTTAGCGTTTATTAACGTTAACGACATATTATTTAGTTTAAAATATTCGTTTGTAAGTTTAAAATATCTTAAGGTAAATTGTATATTTTGCTATAATATACGATGTTTATCCGCTGTGCAGAGCCACTGTACAATTCTATTTAAATAGATATTTAAAAATTTTGTTAAGAAATAATTAACATTTTTTAGAATATTGTTTTAAATAAAGTCTTAAACATTATTAATTTTTAAACAAAAAAATGATATTCTATAATTCATATTAATTAATAAAGATGATGTATACCTTCTAATTAATTTTTTTTTGACTTTACAATTGCGTTTTCTTATCGACGAATGATAAATTATATTCTTCAAATGTACTATCCTATCAGATTAATTGTACCAAAGAATATAGAATAATATAGAACATTAGAAGCTCACTTTTTGAGTAAAAATTTCATCCTAGTTAGTACCGGGACCACCAGTAGGCGATAGTAGGTGGTAGAAACTAGAGACCTATAGGAGGGACGCGCCAAAGCATTTTTGGGGACAGGAACTCGTGTAGTCACGTGATTGCGCGCGAATGATTCAAACATTTCAGTCTGTAAACAAAAGATAAATTATAGGTTAGGTTTGTACATTTATACTTGTAATTATTAAATGAGTAAATTAAACTTACGCTTATAGAAAACTACTAAAAAAAAACAAAACAATTAAATATAAATATCACAATAAAAACTATAAGTATTCCAAACTTAAACTAACCACAGCCGTTCATACATACTAAAGATAAACATGGCTGCGCGTTGCATCGGAAGCTGTCCCCCCAAATTTTCAGCCCAGCAATATGTATGGCGCGTCCCTCCTAAAGGGTCTCTAGTAGAAACTAGGCACCCTTAGTAGAAACTATCAAAGAAGGTACAATACTATTAAAGAAAGATACAGTATTGTCAAAGAATACAATATTCTATTTATTATCGCCTATTGGTGGTTCCGGTGTTCCAGTGTTAAGAAATGAATTTTTTAAACGAAAAGTGGACTTCTGATGTTCTATATAATTCTATATTCTTTGGTTGTACCAATGGTAAAGAAGTTTCTAATCCTAAGCAAAGAATCAAAAGTATATAGAAGTTCACTTGTTTACTTTTTTCCTTCCAGATTCATCTTAGTTAGTACCCTGACCACCAGGGAGGGGGTTATACAACTAAAAACTAAACTAAAACAGTATAAAAGAAAAACTACAATTGTTTTCTTGTTTGTTATCAAAAAGTTGGAATTATTTTTTGTTGTGAAAAGTATTTGATAAATTTACAAATTTTAAATACTTATGTCAATTTGTTAGTTATTTGACTTTATTTTTTTTGTTGCTAAACATATATAGTACCATCCAAAGTCATTTTAATTTTCTGGAAATTTTGATCATTTTAATTTTCAAAATTAAATAAAAATCTTCGATGCTTTTTTATCCCCTTTACGGATATTCAATATTCAATTCAAACAAATTATCCTCACTTTCAATTTGTTTATTTTCAGACTCAGAATTTCGCTCATTTTAATATTCTTTACTTACATTTTGTATAATTTTCTATCATTTTCTCGCAGAATGTGTGAACATATTCAAAGATAAAAAAAAAAAAATACCAAACAAATCTAGTTAATATTAAAAGATTATTTATTACTTGTTGTATTTAATTTCTCTTCTGTGTTAACGTTTCAAATGATAAACATTTGATAAAATATAAGTAGTATTTTTTTTAAATCTTCGATACGACTCCATTATAATCCGATATAGACTCTTTCGCATTATACAATTTTTGGAACAAACCCAAATATATATCACATTCATATGCATGCAACTATAGTTGCGTAAATCTTATTTGAGTTCAGAGCAAAAATACTAGGTAGAGAAGTTTAGAAAAAAAATGTAAATTTGTTGATTGGACAAATGACCAATCATAATTAAGCTAAAGCGATGAATTTTCCTTAGAAAAAATAAACAAAGATAAAACCAAATAAATTAATAATATTTTTCTTTTAACACATTTCATACAGAGCCATTTTTGCTCGACTTTTCATCAAAGCCATTTGATGTTTTGGCATTTAAATAAATATCTTATAGTGTGCCACCAGTGGTACCCAAGTCATAAATGGAAAGTTTAACACGTACCATCAATGTTACATGTAGCACAGAATATATTACATTGTAAAGATTTTCTTAATACTTCTTAATATAAATATAATAAAAAACAATTATTTTTTATAAGGATGCATAATAATAGCTACTTTTTGTTCTATTCTTTTACAACCAGATTTGGAATATAAATTATGAGGTGGTGGATCAAATGTCAAATGCGATAAGGCTTCCTCTACCATTTCTGGAGTTATTTCAGTTACTTTAGTTTCTTCAGTTAATCTTTTTTTAAATGCATGCCTTATACACTTTTTAACGTCTTCTTCTTCCAATGGAAGAAAAGGAATATAATGATCAATAACACTAGTTTCTATAGTATCACTAAGATGAAATCCTCCTTTTTCATTAAACGCTCCGATGGATATTAAATTTTCAAAATCTTGAAGCTTAGTATTTTGCCTCTTTACACCGCTTTCCCAAAGATTTAATAACCTTTGTACAATTTGTCTACTACCGGTGTTTGATAAAAATAGGAAAATTGCTTCATTTCCTACATAATCTTTTGGCCATGTATTATAATCCAAATAATGTACAATGGCGTTTAGTATTCCTTCTGGCATTTTATCTACTTCATCAAAAACAAATAATGATCTTGGACAAGCTTTTAATGCAGCTTTGATTTTTGTCTGCAGTGCTATCTATATTTTATAAATTATAAGTAAAATTTAATTTCTTTTATTTCTGAAGTCGCAATATAATATTAATATTAATCATTTTATTCACCTTATAATTTTCAGTTTCATTTGTTAATGGAAAATCCTCTCTTCCATTAAAAAAATGAAAGAATTTACTTTCAGTCCCTTTTCTGTATAAGGATTGTGCGATAAACTGAGTTACATAGTTCTTACCAGTTCCTTGTGGACCATGAAAACTTAATGATAATGCTTTTTTGTTTTCCTTATTATTTAAATAACCATGTAATGCATTTAATATTGTTTTATAAGCAATGTGCTGACCGTACAGCTTATTTTGCATAAGTTTGTCAAGTTCTAAGGATAGATGTAAATATAAAAAGGTTGAAATCAATAATATTTCTTCATATTTCTTTTATAACTTGTTAAGATAAATAATATGCAATTTACACTTACTTTCCAAATCAAATTTGATATATTCATCTGTACAGCATTCAAAATATTTGCATTGAATTTTATTATAGACATAACCTCCTAAGACACTAGCACCTGTCATTACTCCTAGCGTTGTTAAAACTTCACATGATGTTAATATAATGCAACAGCTTAACAAAGCGACATATAAAAAAACATTCATATTTATTAGAAATTTATTTATAATTTTTATTATAAAATAGTTATTTTTTTGAATTACTCTATTTAAAAAATTGAATTATTCGTTTTAAAGATTGATAAAGTGGAAGAAAAATGATTAGTAAATAAGGTGTTCACATGATGGCGCTAGTAAATACAGTCGTATCGGGAACCAAAAAGGTAGACTAATGTTACCCGGAGAATTTACATACACTTTCCGAATTTACGAATAAAGAAAATATAAAATTTATTATATGGATAGGATCCATTATATGGATACTCTTGGACACCAGAGTGTCTTATTACTCGGACGGTTTCTGTATAAGGAGAAACGGCGCTAGTGTCGGGACGGAATTTTTTTTCTGCCCGAAAGATAAGCAACCTGTCATATATACGTGTATAAACAGTAGATGGCAGTCGCAAGCAACATTTTCCAAGTGTGTCTGGAGGGTTGCATATGAACAGGCGCGCATTTTTATAATTAAATTAATAATTAAATAAATAATTACAAATTAAAAATACAAATAATATTATAATAATATTATATAATAAATTATCCTCGAAATTTGTTTATTTGAAGGTTTCACTTCTAACTTGTGTGATATGCATGAATCTTACAATTAATTGATTATATTAAAAAAATGTATGCGGGTACACATAAGTGTAAAATATAGTGTAGTATAATATTTTATTCATAATACATTTATTTGATTATATTATGAAACGTCAATGTCTAGAATTATACATATTATTCATAAGAAATAAATTGTTCAAAATAGATCATTAACAATGTGAAATATGCAAATATTAGAATTCACTTAATTATTTCATTTTTAAATTAATAACTAATTAATATATCCATGTTCATTATTACTAATTATATAAAGTAATTATAAGGAGCAAAATATAAAATTGTAAAATATAAAGTAAATAATATAAACTTCATTTTTTACATTCATATCAAAGACTCTTTTGTTATTTTAGAAATTATATATAAAAATATTTAATAATTAAACATTTTATGTACGTAGAATGTGTTTTAAATGCATTATAAAACAATTCTATTGCAATTTAACGCAATTATGTTATAATTTAAGCTTTACAATATTTAGAAATCAAATCCAAAGAAGCTACGGTAATGAAATAATTACTTTCTTTCTTACTTAAATTAGAGTGTTCAAATTTAGGTAAATTATCAGATAGCACATACAATTTTCTTGAATCATTATCGATTGCTAAATCATTTGGATAAGCCATTGTTTCATTATCTTGGCCTATCAGAACTGAAAGAAAAAATGATTACTATTACGTATGCAGTGATAAATAGCACATGTTTAAGGATAAAAACATTATTTAATTTAATGTCATTGTTGATTGATACTTTTAAGATTTCTGAGAAAGATCTTACGTAATGAAGTATGAAAAGAACATAAAAAAATTTATACAATATACGTAAGGATTTCTATTTTTTATGCAACAGGATATTGGAATTTCCTTGATATAAAAAATAGTTCGTACATAGCGCCTATGGTTTTAACATTTGATTTATGTGACTATCATTATTGATAATTTATTTTCTTGCTATTAATTCTATAGACTGGGAATCATAATTTTCTCTAATAATCTTACTAATATATCTAAATTCTTTGGAATAATTGATTAAGTCTAATATTATGTAATCTCTTAAATCTAATAAATCTTTTTTTTAAACAAGTAATTGTAAATATCTATCTATTATTAAGGATGATCTAATAATTATTATCATATGAAATATCTCAGTTATTTCTGGTTTGGAAGGACATTCATATATGACAAATTCTAAAATATTTTTGCGTGAATTGATAATTGGTGATAAAAATATAATTATAAATATGTCCATCTTTTCTCTGGTAGATTTTGGTAAATTTAAAGCAAAAAAAGATATGACTTGTTACAGTTACATCAACCGTCAGATTTTTTCTCAAAACACTTCAACTTTCTTTTAAAACATAATACTTCAATATTTTTTTATTCAAAATGGCTCAAGGAATTAATTTGGAATAAAACGAATTATAAAGTTCTATTTAAAAAAATCCTGATAACCCTGAAATCTCGTAAAATTTAATCTTGAAAAAAAAAAATTCTTTTCATGTGTGTCTCTCAAAAAAATGTAAATATGTTTTCATCATTTTTTTCATAAAATAAAAAATAATGGAAATTTTAAATTTGGTTATAATTATTGGATATAAAATTAGAGTGTACTTACTAAATGTTTCTGGAGTTAATTTCAAATCGGTGTCCCAACAACCTATTCCATTCTTTTGTACTTGAGTGAAATAGGCGATTCGAGTATTTTGATCAATTACCGACGAAGGTCCTTGACTCTTTGGTCCTTTGTTTCCAGCAACGTGGAACGCATGGTAATTATTTGATAGAATTAACGTATCATCTTGTAAAACCTTAGTTGACACGTAGAACTCTGTTATTCCAGACATAGCGTGAAAGTAGAGAGTCCTGTATCCGTCAACTTGGAACGGAGTCAAGGCAAGACCAAAGAGACCATCGGTCCATTGAAAATTATAACCACTGATATTGTAATCACCTGCGACAAAATATAAAATCGATTATTATTTATTTCTTTATTTCTTTTTTCTCTTATTATTTAACATTACATTTAATTTACGAATATACTGTAATCCAATATTTATGATGTTTGAAAAACGAATTATACCTATAATGTGAAAAACTTGCAATATATATTTGTAATTTATACTAGTATAATTATATTATATTATTTATAATTTATAAATATTAATCTTTGAATAAGATAATTAATTTAGTGCTGAAAATAATGCTATAAGATTTAAAAAATATTAATGTGTATAAGTATATGATTTTAAAGTAACATGACATTGTTAAGCGTTAAATTATAAAAATCCTCACCATGTAATGGATCAAAGTAAAAGTAATTATGTTCGATTCTCCAGGAATCATTCTTAGCCCAACTGTAAACTACCAAACCGTAGCCTGAAAAATCTGAAAGATAAGCATAAGCATCTTCGCAAGCATCAGGTTTCGAGTCCACAACGAGATCAGCTATAAAGGAATTGGGCTTTTGATCAGAATCCTTTAAAGTATATTTCCGAATGATCTAATTTGAAAATAATATCATATTATTGAATAATAGATAAATTTCTTATGTTTGTATTTCAATATATTAAACTAATACGAATGTAAATAAATTACTTGTATATATATTAACCTTATCTGTATTTAAATCGAACACTATGATTCTGGTAGGTTGTAAAACTCTAGAGTTACCATAAATATTGTCTATTCCTGTATCGACAGCCCAAAGACGATTACAATCATCGATTCTAAGACGAAAGATGCTTACTATACTATCTGGCAAATGTATATCGTTCGTTTCAAAATCAGGATACGGAGTTAATATTGGTGATTCTATAAATAATTAATTTTTATTATTATTATTATTATTATTATTTTCATATATCTTTTTTTATTACATCATTTCTTTTTTATTTCGTAACTTACCACTAGTATCATTTAACCATACATAATTTAAATTGGAAAACACACCGGTCTTCCATCTAGGAATAGTAATTATCATTTTATCTTTAGAAACTGCCAGACCCAGAGGTAAATTATTTTCTTCTATGTAATCTCCTGATTTGATGTAAGATTCTCGTATATTTTCATTCGGAAAATTAAAATTAACTTGTTTCCAGGAATAAAGTTTATCGAAAGTATTGCCACTGGCAACAGCCAGTAATGATAAAAATAAAATATACATTCTACCTAGATTTAAAGAAAAGATAATGATTTATAAAAATTCTATTCGTATAGTCAATTGTTACGATATTTTTACAATATTTTATAGTCATTTTTTACAATATTTTTAGTACTTGATTTAGATTCGTAATTAGTGAATAAATTATAAATGATTTTGAACATAATTTCATTACAGTCAACTATATAATTCTTTTGTAAAATATGAAGGTAATAGTAATTTAGTGTACATCGAATCATTCAATGTATCAAATGTGAAAGTGTTTTACACTTCCTCGTTATACATTTGAATTGAAGAGAACTATACTTTCTCTCTTCTAAAAATGTAAACAACATTAATTTTTGTAACGTCATGTTTCATTGGTTCATAGTATTTAATATTTATCAAATTTATTTCGTAATATCGGAATTGAATTACTGTTTATTTATGTTGATCTTATCATTATATATTTAGATATTATTATATTATTATGTTATATTAAATTATGTAAATTTATAGAATGTAATATTTATCATAGACATTAGAAAATTCTTCCATAAATATTAGATATTTAATAAAAATTCTTCTATGTTATGAAAAGAATAACTATTAAATTTTGAGACAGGTGAAGATAATAAAAACATGGTTTATAGCTTTTTAATTTTATGTATATATTAAAAATTTGATAGTTTCTTAATGGAAGATATTAGAATAAAAAAGTTATTTAAAAGAATCAACATTCCTTTTGGTTTTTATGTGACAACTCGTAAAAATATGAAGTAATAAAGAATGAAAATAAATCCTACGTTAAACGAAATAAAGGTTCAAAGAAATGTATTAACACATTATTAAGCGTGTATTTTTTATTCCTTTTCGAAACCTTCACTATCGAAATGGAATAAATAAATACTTTTGGAATTAACGTTTTATCAATTCTATTTTTTTAATTGAATTATACCAAACGAAAATTATTTATTAATAATTCGTAACGTAAAAATGATAATCTCTCGCGAATGATATAAAACAGCAATATGAATAACAGAAAAGATTTTTGAAATGTTGAGATTGGTATAAAAATTTTGTGAATCCGATAACTAGTAGACGGACTGGCTATACTTACCGTTTGGCAGCGAAGAACTGGTCTTCTAGAGAGCGGTACAAGGTGGAATGGCTGTGTAGTACGACGACCAGTCCTATATAAGCAGGAAACATAGTGTAGTATATGTTGTTGTATGTGTTTGACGTGAAAACATGTATAAGTTCCGAACGAATCGTTACTTCGAGAATCAAAAAAATTCAGATATAAATAAATTAAACGCTGAAATTATTAATACTATTTCGTATATAATTTTCATATAATTTTGTATAATTTGTTAATATATTTTTGTTCGTTATTTTGGAAATATTTTTTTGTTTTTCTATGAACAATTTAAAATAAAAAATAAGCCATTATATTTAACAAATTTTTAAAATGTCAGTCATATTATAAACACTTATTATAATTTTAAATCATATTATCTTGTTATCGAGATATTGTATATACTCGATAATATTTACA